AACTTGACTGGACAAAAAGATGCTTAAAGAATTGGAAAACCGTAGCTGTGGCTGTGGCTCAGCGGTAGCACACTTACCTGGTATGTGTAAGGAACTGGGTTCAATTCTCCACCATATAAATAAATAAAATAAAGGTCTATCAAAAAAAAGTCTATCTTTAAAAAAAAAGAATTGGAAAACCATTACTTCTAGGTGAATTTGTGAGGGTTTTTCCAGAGAAGAGTTGCATGCAAGCCTGCAAACTAAGTGAGGAAGACTTTACTCTGAATGTAGGCAGGCACCATCCAATTGTCTGGGGCTAGATAGAACAGGAAAATGAATGCCTGTTCCCTCCAGATTGGGTACATTTTGAGCAGCTATTTCTGTGGATATCAGACTCCAGTTTCCTCAGACTTTGGACTCTGCAACTTGTACCAGCAGAACTCTGGGGTCCTCAGTCTTTTGGCCTTGAATAGGAAGCCTTCCTAATTCTGAGCCTTCCAGCTTCTTGAACCAAGCAATACTATCAGCTTGCAGATGGCCATCATGGAACTTTTCATCCTCTGTGGGCATATGAGCCAATTTAATAAAGTCTTTCATAAATTATATTATCCCCTCATATATTACATTAGTTCTGTTTCCCTGGAGAACCCTGACAAATATAGCTACTTACAAGACTCTCTCACAGAAAACAATAAATTCTGATAAAATGCAAAAAACAACTGAGAGTTCTGGAAAATAAACAAAAGAAAATAGAGTTGAAACCTGAAAAAAATTACTGACAGAGGGTGGGTTTCCCATTTTGTATGGCTTTGTCTTGAGGGCAGCCACAGTCTCAGAGTAGCATATAACAGCTATGACTACAATAGAAAGTCTAGTTTCTTTCCAGATGGAAGAAACAGGAGAAGGATCCAAGGTAACCAGAGCCACCAGAGAGAAGGGGGAAATCCCAAAGGACAGAGCTAGGGAACAGAAACTCCAGATTCTTTATATAACCCTTTTCTAAATCTCTGACATGTATGTAGCAAACTGAAATCAGTTTTCTAATCTGAGACGTGACCTATGTTGCCAATCACAGGCAAGGAAGAGTTTCAGTTTGGATCTAACCAAGTTAACTGCCTGATAAAGCTAAAACATCAGCTTTAATTTGGAGGACTATAAGAGAATCCAGAGGCTGTATGACATATCACAATGATCAGATTCAATCTATAATTACTTGACATGAAGAATCAGGAAAATGCAATTCATTTTTAAGAGAAAAGATGATCAACAAAAACTAATCCCCAAAAGAACCAGATGTTGAAATTATCAGACAAGAACTTTAAGGTATTTATTATAAATATGCTAAGTGAAAAAAATAAAAATATATTCATAACCAAGAAAAAATTAGGAGTGAAAAATTAAAATCTGAAATAAAACTCACTGTATAGAATTACTTAAATGCAGACAACAAAGGAAAGAGATTGTGAATTTAAAGACAGATAATTAAAATTATCTGCTCTGAAAAAAAATAGAAGAAAAATTGGAAACAAAAACCTAATGCCTCACAAATTTGTATGACAATATCAAAAGATGCAGCCTAAGAGTTGGAATCTCAGAAAGAGGGGAAAGAATGAATGGGGAAACAAAACTATCTAAAGAAATAATGATAAATTTGGTGACAGAATAGAAATTATATTTTTCTCATCTACAAAATTATCTGAGCTTATGGGGCTGAGGCTGTGGCTCAGCGCACTTGTCTGGCATGTGTGAGGCACTGGGTTCAACTCTCAGCACCACGTATAAATAAATAAAATAAAGGTCTATCAACAACTAAAAAATATTTTTTTAAAAAATTATCTGAGCTTAAACTTAATTTATTATATTATTTGGATTTAGTTTATTGGTTTTTAATTTTTATTTAAATCAATTAGCTTAATGATTTACTATATTGTTCTTTTTCAATGATTTGTTCACTTTCATTTTTCTAGAAATTTTCTATTTCATCTAACATTTCAAATTAGTTTTTTAAAAATATTTGTTTTAGTTGTAAGGGTACACAATAAACTTTATTTTTTTTTTAATGTGGTGCCTAGGATTGAACCCAGAGCCTCACGTGTGTTAGGCAAGAGCTTTTCTACTGAGCCACAATCCCAGCCCCTCAAATTAGTTTTAATTATCCCTAGTGATATTAAAAGTTCCAATTTCATCTTCCCTAGTGATATTAAAAGTTCCAATTTCACCTGTCATGATGTCCCATTTTCCTTTTGTAATATTTAGTGTGTCCTTATTCTATCTGTTGATTAGTCTTACTAGAAGTGATCTGTTTTTTTTTTTTCAAGAAAAAGGGTTTTTTGTTTTTTTTTTTAGAGAGAGAGAGAATTTTTTTAATATTTATTTTTCAGTTTTCGGTGGACACAACATCTTTATTTTATGTGGTGCTGAGGATTGAACCCAGCGCCCTGCGCATGCCAGGCGAGTGCGTTACCGCTTGAGCAACATCCCCAGCTCAAGTTTTTGTTTTCTTGATCTCTATTGTTTCTTTCCTTATTTTTATTTCTTCATAATTTTTATTATTTTTTCTTTTCTATTTCTTTAATTAGTTTCTTTAATTACTCTATTACTCTTATTCCAGATTCTTTAGCCAATACTTATTTATTTTTAATATTTTTAAATACATGTATTAAACCATAAATTTACTCCTCCCCCCTAAAAGGTGCATTAGCTTGATCCCAGAAATACTGAATATGGATTACAGCAAATGAAATAACTACCAACAAAGAGAATCCAAGACACAATAGATTAAATAAGATACTTGTTATGGTTTGAATCTGTAATGTTCCCCAAAGTTTCATATGTTGAAGCCTTGGTCCACAATGCAGCAATGTTCAGAGGTAGGGCTTTGGGGAAATGATTGGATAATGAGGAGCATCAGTGGATTAATCTACATTGATAATGAACGGACTACTGGGAGGTGGTAGAAACTATGGGTGGTGGGGCATGATTGGAGACAGATGGTCATTGGGGGTGTGTCCTGAAAGGTTATTTCTTATCCCCAGCCTCATCTTTTCTCTGCTTCACAGATGTCATGAGCTGCATAGCCTTCCATTGCCATGATGTTCTTGCTTGCTTCAGGTCCAAAGCAATGGAGCCAGACAGCCATGGACCAAAACCTCTGAAATCATGAGTCAAAATAAATCTTTCCTCCTTTAAGTTGTTTATGTCAACTATTTGGGTCAGAGAAATGAAAAACTGACTAACACAATACTTTATTTACTTCTTACCTAAGAAGCAGTGTAGGCATTTCAAGTTCACAGATATCTCTGGGTCCTAAGCTGTCATCCTCAATGTCTCTCAAGGTCACTTTAGTTTCCATCAATCCTACAAACAGAAAGGTAAAGAGTGTGCAGTAAGATGTGTGTAAAGTTTTATATGCCAGGCCTGGAAACAAGAGTATCACTTATAGTCATATTCTTTTGATGTGAATCTTCAGTCATATGGCCACACTTAACAACAAAGTGGGCTAAAAATTCAGTCCTTGGTTAAGAAACCCTGGTATATCCCGGTTACAATAAAAGGAGAGATTGTGCAGTAGTCCCAGCCACATGTATTTTCACTGATGTTCACATTTATAATTCTACTGGAATTTCATCATTATCTTGTGAATTATGGGAAAGTGCATTAATTTTTTTCAACGGTGTTTTGAGTTTTTTTAACTATTGTTGATTTGTAACTTAATTACACTGTTAATTGTCTACATAATGTTGATTCTCTGAAATTTCTGTACTAGTATGTCATCAATTGTCACAAACACTCCACATGTACTTAAAAAGAATACATAGGAAGCTGGTGATTTGCTCAGTAGTTGAGCATTTACCTAGCATGCATGAGATCCTAGGTTCAATTTGCAGTACAAAAAAAGAAAACAAGCAGGGTGCAGTGGCACATGCCTGAAATCCCAGTGTCTTGGGAATCAAGTTCAAAGCCAGCCTCGGCAAAAGTGAGGCACTAAGCACTCAGTGAGACCCTGTCTCTAAATAAAATACAAAACAGGGCTGCAGATGTGGTTCAGTGATCAAGTGCCCCTGAGTTCAATACCTGGTAGGAAGGAAGGAAGGAAGGAAGGAAGAAAGGAAGGAAGGGAGGGAGGGAGGGACATAGCTTTTTTGTTTGTTGTATATAGAAATCTATAATATCCATAGATTAAACTTGTTAATTTCTTTAATATGTTTACAAAGTTTTACCTTGGTTCACAGTATGCCTGTTCTCATTACATTGGTAAAATTATGTCACACTGTCTATAATAAAGTCAATTGGACAAGGAATTACACTCCACATTCACTTAAAAAATGCTCAATTTTATTGGTTAGAAATGAGAAAAAGTTCCATTTGTCAGTTTTGCAATCATAGATTCTCTGGATTGTTTTCCTTTCATTCTTCCTTCCAAAAATGTCATTTCCCCTTGCATTTTATCAAATGCAGCTAATAACAACCAATTCAAGACAGCAACATATTGTCATAAATCTCCTTGCACAAAATGCAAGTTCATTTGGGACATTTTCTGCCTTCTAAGTTATGGCAGGTAGTAATTCACAAGTAATATTTTTCCCAATGGTTTACCACTATAAGACATGTCCATTTTCACAGGTTCCAAAAATAGTTTTCTACCACCTGCAGCTTGTATTCAAAAGCAATGCCACATATTTTAGTTTTTTATTACAGAAACATACAACTTCTAGAATCCAATTTATGTATTAGTGTCATGGGTTGCTGTGGGGAGCCATTCTCACACGTGACTGGGCAACTCCCGGTTTGGGTCTGAGGCGCTCTGGCTAAACTGTGTCGGAGCTTTCCCGACCCTCTCCTGGTGCGAGAGCCTGTCCGTGTGGGGGTGTGACTTGACCACTGACCCTGGGGCCAATCACTGACCCTGACCTTGGAGTGCTGCCCTCCTCAACCTTCATTGGATGGAATTCTCCCCTGAATTTCTTGTTCCCCAATAAAAGGCTACTCCCTGGTGTGCTCTCTCTCTCTCTCTCCAGCTAGCCCTGAGTAATCCCTGCTGCCCTACCGGGTGGTTCAAGGTGGGAGCCAGAGGGGGAGCCATCTCGGACCTGGTCATAGAAAAAGGTAACTGAGTCTGTGTGTTTATTTCGATCTCACTAGTTAACTTTTATGCCAAGAACCTCTTTAATGAAACCAGTGCGCTGGTCGCATGGTGGAAGGTTGCATTGTCCCTCCACCAGAAAGATATGTTGAAGTGTTAACTCCCAATAAATCAGAGTGACCTTATGTAAAAATAGGGTCACTGGAGAATTAGTCTATGGAATTAGTTAAAATGATATCATAGTAGAGTAGGATGTGTCCCTAATTTCAGAAGATATGAAAACATCAGAAAATATGAAGATGGCGACACTTAGAGAAAATGTCATGTGATGACAAAGGTGGAGACTAGAGTTACACCACTCCAAGCCAGGGAATGCTAAAGATTTCTAGTAAACTAGCAGAAGCTAGTAAAAGGCAAGGAAAATTTTTTCTACAGTGCTCAGGTGAACACTGACCCAGCTAATGTAAATTTCAGACATCTGGCCACCAGAACTGTGAGACAATGAATTTCTGTTGTATTAAACCATGCAGTTTGTAGTACTTACAGTAACCCTACAAGACTAAATACAATTTGCATACATGTGTTGCCATAAAGCTGACTTTTAAAGAAAGTAACTCCAAACTCAATGGCTTATTTCTTTGTTTATTTGTTTGTGCTCCCAGATTTGTTGTGTTAGCTATGACTCTGCTGAGCTTGCTTGGGCTCAGCTTTAGACTTTAGAGCCTGTACTAATCTTCCCTACATGTCTTCATGTTCTGGCTTCCAGGATGAATGAACAGCTTCATCTGGAACCTGCATGGTGTTTTCATAACAGACAGTGAAAGCGTACAAGGTCAAGACAAGTCACACACATTTATCTCATGTGGCATGAGATACATTCCCCTACGTGCCTTTGGCAAACCCCGACATGCCTTTGGCAAAGAAAGAAACATAGGCTTCAAGTTCATGTGGAAGGGAAGTACTGGCCGAAAAGTGACTACAGGAAGGTGAGAAGGTAATTAACAGTTAATATATATTTTGTTATATCTACTTCATTTATATTTATTGAGATTACTCATGTGCTTTTAACTATTTATATCATCTAATTTTTATTTTTATCATCCTTTTATTTTTTATCCTTCTTTCATGCCTTCTTGAGATTTATATGGTTTCTATATCCTTCCCTGCTTTTTCCTCTCTGCTAATTTAGAAGCTATTGATAGTATGTCCATTTATTTAGCACTTAAATGTTAACATATAATATACTTAAATACTAACATATAATAGATAAATGTTAATTTATAACATACTTAAATTTTAACATAATAAATATTAGAAAAATATATAAAATATATTTAAATGTCATAGAAATATAAAAATATGTATAATATATATAATCATATAATTTTTCTAACATACAGAAAATATCTAAATAAATTCAACATATCTAGGTTCCTTCAACAACATGAACCTTGGCATGGTTTATTCTACATCTTCACTCTGAGCTCATCTTTCTTCTTGCCAAGAGTATACTCTTTTATAAATAGTTCTAGAGTTTGTAGATGACAAGTGATCTTCCCATTTGTGTCTCTGAAAAGTATTAAGTATTGTCATAAATCCTGAGTGACAGCATAAAATTAAAGATAAAATTCTAGATTGAGAGTTTTTTACCTCAGCATTTTAAAAAGATACCATTTCACTGTCTTATAGCATTTATTATTGCTGCTAGGAAGGCTTATATTAGTCTAAAATTAATAATATTATTTTTCTTAGTTAACATTTTTCAATTTTACCATGCTGAACCTATTTGATGGATAAACTGTGAGACAAATAACTGATCATAAGACCATGTTGAAGAATCCTTGTTCATATCAACTGATATTCTATCCAAGCCATTCTCTCTTTTCTAATAAGAAGAGGCATGCAATAATCAGAGAGAGAGATTCCTGATATAAGGTTGAAGGTTGTAATTCTGGGGATGGGAAGACAGAGGAGAGATGACAGAGGACGGAAAAGAGTCTTCCATAAAACGCAAAGATTGAGTAGAGGGTATATTCACCCTAAAGCTCATAAAGCAGTATTTATTTCTTCCAGGAACACTGATTCTGAGATTCCAGGAGACATATGATGTCTGTGTTTTAGTCAGCATTTTTGCTGCTGCAACCAAAAAACCCAACAAGAACAATTTTAGAGAAGGAAAAGTTCATCATGGGGCTCATGGTTTCAGAGGTCTCAGTCCACAGCCAGCCAGCTCCATTGCTCTGGATCAAAGGTATGGAAGAACATTATGGTAGAATAGTACAGTGGAGGAAAGCTGCTCAGGACATGGCACCAGGAAACAGAGAGAGCGAGCTTCATTCAATAAGGATAAAATATATACCCCAAAAAGTATCCTCCCAGGAACCCACCTCCTCCAGCCACACCCTACCTGCCTACAGTTACCACCCAGTTAATCTATTCATATGAATGATAACAATCTTCTTTCTATCTGTTAAATTCATTATGGAAAGTATGCTATTTTGGAAGTGTGCTATTCATTATGGAAAGTTTCTAACTATTATTATTAAATAGTTTATTTCTCTTCTTATTTTTGCTTTTTTATGTGAGACTTTGTTACTGAGAACATATGCTTTTAATTTTTTAATATTTTTTATTTGTAGTTATAGATGGACACATATCTTTATTTTATGTGGTGCTGAGGATCGAACTCAGTGCCTCACGCATGCTAGGTGAGTACTCTACCTCTAAGCCTCAATCCTAATCCCACTTTTTTTAACTTCTTGATATAACATCATTACATTCATTGTTATCATTGCATAATGGTCTTTTCCTCTTGTAACAATGTTTAAGTCTATTTTGCTTGATATTTATGCAACCAGTCATCTCTCTCTTAGTTACTGTTTATATAAAATATCTTTTCCCATCCATTCATTTTTAACTTATGTTTTTTAATCTAAAGTGAGTCTCTTATAGACAATATATTGTTGGATCATGTTGTTTGCTTTACCCATTCTGAAAATTTCTCACTTTAAATTGGAGAGTTGACTCCAGTTACAGTTAATGCAACTGCTAATAAAGAAGGACTTCTGTCGTCTTGCTATTTGCTTCTTGTGTCTTATTTCTTTTTTTCCTCTATCTCTACTACTAATTTCTTTTGTGTTAAATATTTTCTATCATATTATTTTGTTCCCTCCCCCTTTAATTTTATAAAATATATCTTAGTTACTTTCTTAAGAATTAACCTTGATATTACAACTTCTTAATTTATAATAATCTAGTTTGAATTACTACCAACTTAGTTCAATGGTGTATGAAACTGCTCCTAGGTGGTCTCATTCTTCCCCTTTTATGTTGTTACTGTCACATGTCTTTATACATTGTGTATACATCAACATAGATTTATAATTATTTTATTTATTCTGGTATCTTTTAAGTCACTCAGAAAAATGAGGAGTTTGAAAAAAAAAGTACTTTCATAAGTATTTTTTATTTCTTTGTGTGGATTCAAGTTACTATTTAGTATCCTTTCATTTCAGCCTGCAAGGCTCTTTATATCATTTCTTATAAGGCATGTTACTACTGATGAACTCTCTCCATTTTAATCTAGGAATGTTTTAAACTCCCCTTAACTTTTTTTTTTTTTTTGTTCTTGGATTTTGGTTCAGTGTCCCTCTACCACTGAACTACAGCCCAGTAGTTGTTTAATCTTGAGATAGAGTCTTACTAAATTGCTGAGGCTGGCCTTGAACTTCTGATCCTTCTGGCTCAGCCTTTCCAGTCACTAGGATTACAGGTATGCCCCTCTACACCCAGATTCCCCTTAACTTTTAAAGGACAATTTTTCCAGATATAAAATTCTTGGAAAACAGTTTTTTGTTACTATATTTTGTATATGTCATCCCAGTACCTTCTGGCTGTCATGATTTTTTTTTTTTAAATCAGATGTTAATCTCATTGAGTGTCCCTTGTACTTGATAAATCACCTTGCTCTTGCTACTTTCAAGATTCTCTGTTTTTGTCTTTCAATAGCTTGATTTTTATATGCCTCAGTTCCTTTTAACTTACTCTTGTCTGAAATTTTTTGAGCTTCTTAGATGAGTAGATTTGTGTCTTTTGTCAAATTTGAGATGTTTTCAACCATTATTTCTCTAAATATTCTTTATCTTTCTTTCTTTCTTCCTGGGATTCTAATTATGCCTATGTTGGTATGCCTGGTGGTTTCACAGATTTTTTAGTCTCTTTTCATTTTTCTTCATTCTTTTTTCTTTCTACCCCTCAAACTAAATAATCTTAATTGACCTATCTTAAGGTTCACCTTCCTTTTGCCAGACCAAATCTGATATTTAACACTTCAATAGTGAATTTTTCATCTCAGTTATGAAGACCCTATTTGACTCCTTTCTCAATTTATGTATCTTTGTTGATATTCATTATTTGGTAGGACATCATTCTTAACAGTTTGTTTTAGTTCTTTGTAAGTGGTTTCCTTTAGCTGTCTGAGAACCTTTTTAAAAAATATTTAAAGTCTTTGTCTAGAACATCCACTACATGGGCTTCCTCATGAGTAATTTCTGTTAACTTCTTTTTTTTCCTGTGCATGAGCCATAATTTCTTATTTCTTTACTTATTGAAAATTAAATGGTTTTTCTACTATAATGTGACAACTCTAGAAATCAGATTCTTTCATCTGGTTGGGGATCATTTGTTGTTTCTTATTGTAGTTACTTCCATTTCTTTAGTGACTTTTCTGAACAAATTTTAGAAGGTCTGTTATTGATTATCATGTGTAGGTACTAAAATCTATGTTCCATTAGCTTGGTGGTCAACTAATGATTGAATAGATGTATCCTTAAGTTTAAAGAACAAAAGCAAAAAACAAAACCTCCCACCTTTGAAAATGAACTTTGTGTATTTTGAGCATACCTTCACTCAACAACTCTATTTAAAACTCTGCACTAGCCCTTACTTCCTGATTATGTGAAGCCTGAAAATCAGTCAGGGGAGAAAGCTTAGGATCTCCTAAGGTTTTTTTCAAATATACACTCTGTCCAAGGAAAAAACTTGGGCCTTTTAGATTCCCAGAAATATGTGGGACCTTTACACAGCCCTTATTCCCCACAACATCTTTTTCATTTTCTGTTTTAAACAGGGTTTTATTTTTTAAAATTTATTTATTCTAATTCATTATACATGATAGCAGAATGCATTTCAATTTATAGTATACATATAGAACACAATTTTTCATGTTTCTTGTTGTACACAAAGTAGAGTCACACCATTTTGTGTCTTCATATGTGTACTTAGGATAATGATGTCCATCTCATTCCACCATCTTTCCTACTTCCATGCCCCTCCCTTACCTTCCCTCCCCTTTGCCCTTTCTAAAGTTCCTCCATTCCTCCCATGCTCCCCCCACCATCCCTATATTATGGATCGGTACCCACATATCAGAGAAAACACTCAGTATTTGTTTTTTTAGGAATGGCTTATTTCACTTCGCATGATTATTGTCAAACTCCATCCATTTACCTGCAAATGCCAGGATTTCTATTTCACTGCTCAGTAACATTCCATTGTGTATATATACCACATTTTCTTTATTCATTCATCTAATGAAGGGCATCTAGATTGGTTCCACAATTTAGCTATTATGAACTGTGCTGCTATAAATATTGATGTAGCTGCATCATTGTAGTATGCTGTTTTCAAGTCCTTTGGGTATAAACCAAGGAATAGGATAGCTGGGTCAAATGGTGGTTCATTCCAAATTTTCCAAGGAATCTCCATACTGATTTCCATATTGGTTACACCAATTTGCAGTCACAACATCTTGTTCCTTAGTCTTTCTGTGCTTTTTGGATGCTTTCTTGTTTGTTTCAACTGTTATGTCTTGCCCGAAGTGGCAGTAATAAAATCGCTACTAAATGTTTTCAACAAACACCTCCTGAGTAGCCATTCTGAGAAAGTTCTGAGTTAGACAAAAGAAGGGAAAACACTATAATTTATTATTTCGTGTAGCCACCCAAGCAAAACCACAGTTCTTTGAGAATAATATCCATTATTCTCCCTCTGGTACTAGGTACTTATACTGGAAAATGAATTATTATCTTTAAAGCTGCCACCAAGCTGGCACTGTGGTGCATGCTTCTAATCCCAGAGACTTTGAAGGCTGAGGCAGGTGAATCACAAGTTCAAGACCAGCCTCCATAGTTTAGTATGATGCTGTCTCAAATAAAAAGGGCTGTGGCTATTTCTTAGTGGTAAAGAACCCCTGTGCCCCAGAACCAAATCCCCAGTATCAAAATCAATCAATAAAAACCATTCAGGCATGATGGCACACATCTATAATCCCAGCAGCTCTGGATGCTGAGGCAGAAGAAGGTTCAAACCCAGCCTCACTAACTTAGCAAGGCTCTAAGCAATTTAGTGAGACCCTGTCTCAAAATAAAAAATTTAAATAGGGCTGGGGATATGGCTCAGTGATTAAGTGCCCTCAGGTTCAATCCCTAGTACCAAAAACAAACCTGCCAACAAGATAGGAAACGGGGTAAGGGAAAAAATAGTGTAAGTTAAAGTGCCAGAGATTTAGAGATTTAGTAGTATTAGTTGTAGTAGTAATTACTCCCCTGGTAAGTAACAAGATTTCAATTAGTTTCGAGGATTAAAAAAAAAGTTGATCTTGACATATTTTGTTTATTCTTCACTGTTTTTTGTGGAGGAATGGACTTTAGGAGTTCACTACCCTACAAATACAGCTTTTGCTTATGTTACTCAATATTGATTGATATTTAATGTTAAACCAACCTTGTATTCCTAAAAGGAAAACCCATTTTGTTGTGATGAATTATTCCTTTTACAAATTATTGAATCTAATTTGATCTTTTTAAAATGTTTGAATCTATCTATCTATGAGGAGTGTTGACCTATGAGTTTTCTCTCTTGAGACATTTTGTGGTTTGGCATCAGAATAGCAGCCAAATATAAGGAGTTAGAAAATATTACCATCCTCTTCATTTATTGGAAGAATGTGTATCAGACTGGTATTATCTCTTTCTTAAATGTTTGATATAATTTTCCAATGAATCCATCTAGCCCTGGAGCTTTCTTTGTGGGAAGATTTTGAAGTACAAAAAATCAACTGTTCTAATAAATATATATAGATTACTAAGGTTATTCATTTTCTCTTTAAAGAACTTTGATAGTTTGTGTCTTTATTTATTTATTTGTTTGTTTATTTATTTATTTATTTGTATTGGAGATTGAACTCAGGGGCATTTTACTATTGAACTACATCCCCAGTCCTTTTTATTCTATATTTTGGGACAGGGTCTCACTAAGTTGCCAGGCTGGTCTTAAACTTGGGATTCTCCTGCATCAGCCTATGGGATTACAGGCATGGGCCACCATGCCCAGCAGTTTGTGTCTTTT